GCGCTCGGAAATCTACCACCGGAGTGACAAGCAGTGGACATTTTGTAAGGTTGAGTAGGAGTCAATCAGATGAAATTCTCATGACTCAACATTCAAATCATGTCTCCATCTACGACCCCTCGGGAAACACACTCAAACACAATGTGCAAACTACACACGAAATCACTTACCAGACATCTGCAACGAAGTCGGGTTTGATCGTCACAAATTGTTCTTTGAGGAAAACTAAATACCCAAGGATGGTGATGGTGTATGACAGGGATGGGAATTCCGGGAGGTATCTACAATCTCCACAGGGTGTCCACCTGTATCACGCCGTGGACGAGCAGGACAGGGTGTATGTAGCGAGTTTTGATCAAAACACCGGACAAGTGCTGATCAGGCTCTATGAACTTGATGGTCTAAACCTGAAGGAGAGAGGACGGTTCAGTCCACTGGAAGTGAAAGTAGGCCATGAATTATGTCGCATGGTTTCTCTCACTCCACAAACACTTGCGTTTGCTTCTTTAAATAGACTCTATTTCTTAGAAGTTAAATTGTAATTGGCCCAGTTTGATTCCATGGTACCTTTCAGTACAGACCCGTTTGGATGTTACTGTAAGTCACTGGTTCAATAGCAAGAGCGTCGCACTTAACCATGCCAATACAGACTTTTTTTACGTACTTCTAAAGATAGTGGTATAATGATTCGATGACCTAATGTCACGAAATTGTTAGTGTTATTATAAATACTAATAAATAAATATCAAAAACAATAGTTGGTTCTTGTACTGCGCTCATGCCTGTCAAACCTGACACTCTTGGCGCTTTACAATTATTACCCCGGCTTGAGTTTGGCTGCCATTATGGCGCTTTAGCATTTCAAGAACTTAATTCCTGCCATTTACCTCACCTGGGTCGAGTGTTGCAAATGTTGATAACGTCTTACCAAAGGTCATTAGTGTCGTGGTGGGACTCGAACCTTGAGATCCACATGCAGTCTCAGTCACCGATCCACTAGATCACGGCACATCGAAGTACAATAGAAGTACGATAATTGACAGGCGATGACGAAACATTTATGACTCAAGTGGAGAGGTATAAAATATTTTTGCCATAGTTGGGAATCAAGATTTGAGTATATGTTTTAAGCATGTTCTCAAGTACATGTATACATGGGGAATGTTTCACAAACACTAAGATCGACTGTAAGTTGGACTTAACTATGGCAGGCCATTCATGCCACTGGTTTCTCTCACTATTGGTCTCTCAATGATGGTCTTTAGATAATACTTTTTCCTTTAATAATGAACTATCAAAAATGTAAGCTCTGTAGATTTGTGACCACGATTTATACGTCCCTTGATCGAGAGAACAATGCCAGTAAATGGTTAGAGCAAACAATGGCTTGAACGGCATGCCATAGTTAAGTCCAACTTAAAGTCGATCTTAGTCTTTGTGAAACATCCCCCAGGAGGCATACTAGTATGCCCATATGAACACGCAAGGCAGACTTTTGTCGGGCTCCTGCCCCTTTTACCCCCTTGGATGCAAAAGTGAGTACAGTGTATATGATATTGAAAATGAAATATGATATGTAAATGTGTAAATATATAAGGTAGAAAGTGAAACAAATTCACACCAAGAACATTTTTTTCCTTTGTATTAATTTTTCCATTAAAGGGATAGTTGATTTCCTGTTTCAGACTGCATATGCCTTCAATATGCATAGTTATTGATCTTATTCTTATTTATGACATTTCTAGAAATCGTTAAATTTATGAATATTTCATAAATATTTCGATCAAACAAAGATGATTATGTCATTTAAATTGTTTGTTGTTCCAAATTGGACACTCCATTATCTCACAAGCAAATATTTTGTGTAGCGCCCTCTGCAACAAAACCAAAAACGACCTTTTTGGCAGCTGAAATGTACAAATATACAATAAGCCGAGTGTTTAATTAAAATGATATGCATATCTGAATCTGTCTATCTGACATATATATATATATAGCCTTACATTTTGTATTGACAGGGCATATATATATGCGATAAAGGCCACTTTCACATTATTACCTCGTGTGCTTCTACTTTCTTGGTTAAATTTCCATCGACATAAAACTGCGCCAGTTACACGTATGAATAATCAGAGCCATCGATATTCAGAATTTGGCCAACCACAGTGGCGGATCCAGGGGGGGGGGTGCGATTTTTCAAGCCCCCCCCCCCCCCAAAAAAAAAATATATATATATATTTGTAATGATTGTTTAATCAGTCTGTTGTCGATCTGGGGTTGGTTGCTTAAATGTGACTTGGGTATGCATGTACCTAAAGGCCAAAGCGTATTGAGAGAGATGGTTGTTACCAGGGGCGTATCTAGCTTTTTGCTAAGAGGGGGGGGGGGGGTGACCCCTAACCCCCCCCCCCCCCCCCTAGATCCGCCCCTGGTTACACGCATCTACGCGTATGCGAGATAGGCCGCAGGTTAAATCATGGAGCTTCATGAAATGCCTGACAAATCAGAAGCATCTTCGGTTGGACGTAACTATCTATCTCAATAAACAGTAGGCTTGCGGGTGCACCATGTGTGTGTGTGAGAGAGAGAGAGAGAGAGAGAGAGAGAGAGAGGGGATTGAGGAGTCCTGAAGAAGAACTCTCGGTAATCTTTCTTGAGGGTGTGTAGTCCTGAAAAGGACTTTTTGTGTAGTGTATCTCAAGTAGCTCAAGTAACCATGTTGTGCCCACGTGAAGATGGATTTGGCGCTGATAAACGTTGGAGACCCGGGAGCGTCCAGGCTTGACGGACAATGAGCTCTGTACCAGATCTAGAATCCGCCATTATTATTATTATCGTCTGTCCCATTGCGTAGCCAGACACGGAGTTGGAGACAAATGTAGGTAAACAAACAGAATCATAGTCAGGAAAATGAAAAGAACTTCGTTGTTACACAGAGCATTGTATTCGCTGACGAACTTTGGACCTCAAATTAACTAATGCTCGAGGAGCTTCAGAACGAGCATGTTGTTGCTTTTCAAAAGAACGAAGGATTATTTAATGAAAGTTTATACATGGGCCTGATTATGATATTATATCATATCTATCTACAGAATTACTTCGTGTCGTCTAGAAAACAACTGGGTCCCCAATAAGTAAAATAATTTTCAGTCTGCAAGGCATCACTGGAAAACGGTTAATGGTGATTCATTTATGCCAATGAATGAAATAAGAAGTAACATTCGTTTTGTTCTCATGGGTAAAAATGCATATGTACCATCAGTTTTTTTAATTGTTATCATTGAAACTATGCCAATAATTAAGTGGATGTTTTTACGATGTAATTAAAATAAACCCAGGCTCGCAGCTTGCTTGTCCTTAAAACTTTTGTCATCTGCCTGATATTTCTTTATCGTGCTCTCTCCCTCCCCTCTCCCTCTCTCTCTCTCTTATATGTATGTATTTTGTAATGAAGTACATGTGTACGTCTCTTTCTCCATTTATAATAAAGATTTGTTAAGATCAAATATTCTCCTCTCACTCTTTCACCTCTCTCTTCTTTTTTCCTCGATCCCCACCCTCTCTCTCTTTTTATATTTGCAAATATCTTCAAGAAAATATCCTCAACACAAAATAATTACCAAAAGAGTTTCATGCAGTGTCATAAAATCAATAACGTCCCATGATAAGGAACATTATGATACATCAAATAAAATTAGTGTATACTTCCTCCCCATGAAAAGAGGCGCTGATACTTCCTCCGTCTTCTCTATTTCTTTGCACCCTATGTCTTCAACTTCCTTCCTCCTTCCTTCCTCCTACCCCTTTCTCTATCCCTCTTTTCTACAATTGTTTATCTCTCTCTCTCTTTCTCTCTTCCCTAGCTCCCGCCCCTTTCATTCTCCTGTCTTTTTTCCAATTCCAAATCTCTCTCCTTATTCCTTTCTCCATCCCCTTTACCAATATATCTCCTTTTATTTCTCTCTTCCCCGTCTTCTTTATCTCTTTGTTGATTCTCTCTCAATGATTTGATATGCTTGTATAAATTATAATATAATAGTAAACAAATGTTAAGGGATTATCACCACAGTAACCAAAAGCTGTTATATAGGTACTTTCCTAACATTTGAGGGGCATACCACAAGGATCCGTCATATAAAATATCAAAAGAAAGACACATAATAAATGTAAAATTTACACATGATTTAAATGAATATACGTTTAAGAAAAACACCCTTTGCTTTGGTGAAACTACTATATTGAGTAATCCCGATTTCCACGAAGCATAATATGTATGAACATAAAAACGTGATACAAATCGCTGGATTGCTCAAAGGTACTCTAAATTTTGTTACTCCCGAAATATTCTCCGTCTCGCCATCTAGTATGTTATATTTTCTCTTTTATCAAAATAATAAAGGACTTCAAGCTTTTTACTATACCAGAGAATCACGATGACAATTACTTTTAATTTATATTATTAAAAAATGATAATGATTATTATATATATATATATATATATTGTGTTTAAGGGGTAAATGCTTATACATTATCCCTGTGCATTGAGGTCTGCAGATACCCCCATGTTTACACCAGACACCATTGCCTTTCCAAAGGCAAGCAATTAAAAGCAAGCGAGGGTATCTTACGCATTGCTTATTGTGTCCCAGTTAGTTAGCATTGTATATAGATACGTACGACACTGTTGAAGGATATGATACACACAGGATACACATATACTGTATGTAGAAAGGACAATTTTGGTTTATTAAATACAAATGAGAAGAATACAATAGCAGGCAGTATAATAGACGTGATGAGATCGCAGTCAAAGGTTAAAGTGGCGCTCTCTTGCAAAACCCACCAGTACTATTACAAATAAAGCATCAATTCAGGGCGCAGCGCTTATATTTGCAGAGTAGCTAGCAGCATTGACGTTGTGTACGTTCACATTTGGGTGTATAACTCATGTTTATATTGTGACGTACACGTATTCCGTAATAATCAGAACATATATGGAGTTAGGCCTGCAAATATCATGTTTGTAACACTATCAAGATCACAGATCTACGTATATTCTTCATGTATACAACAAACTCTTTAAACATACAGGATATAGTGCAGCTTTATGCTTGATTGCTCTCTCTAATTGGTCAGCCATTCGTACATCACATCCATGGCGGAGAAACAGGAAGAAGAGGACGTTCCGATCTCTTCACAAGGCTTGACATGTCCAATGTGTCTTGGTATATTCGACGATGCAACCCTCTTGACCTCTTGCGGACATACCTTCTGTCGAACCTGTCTCAGGAAATACGACCTATCCCACCAGGATCTTGATCACATGGTATGCCCTCTCTGCAGGACAGTGACGAAGTTGTCCGCTAACCGGGTCGACGATCTCCTCCCCAATGTGACGGTCAATGGACTCGTGGACGACCACCGTGCCAGGTCTGGAGGGGGCAGTGCCATCCTGGAGATGCGGCAAAAGTGCACTGTCTGCAACCTTCAGGTAGAGGCCATCGCTTTCTGCAGTACATGCGATGCATACATGTGTGATCAATGCTGCGTTGGCCACAAACAACTGAAGCTGTTCTTCGACGGTCATGAGATCGTATCTATCCATGATATCGTTGAGGGAAATTTCAAACCTGGTAGCTGCTCCGAGAAATGTTCCGCCCACAGACAAGAGAACAAACATATTTTCTGTCAGGATTGTAAGATACGCGTCTGTTTCAAGTGTGTCATCATCGATCATCGAGATCATAAGATACAATCACATCAGGACTTCGAAAAGGAAATACAGGTTAAGGTATGTAGTCCAATGGCAGGTCATTCATGAACGGTTTTAAATATATTGTTCACTCGAATATCTATTATTCTCAACATATTACCCAAATGTATACCGTTTCCAAATGAAATTATAATAATTGTGTCTTTCCTCTTATCGTAACAATACGATTTATTCTTGATAGACTGTAATGATCATAGAGATAGATCTATAAGGGTCTAGGGAGATATCAACGTTATACAAAAATAAATCATATAATCTCAATAATTTCATGAAAAGGATTATAATACAATATTTCAACTATATGAGCTATGGTGTATGCTGTCTTAAACCGTGCTCCATAAAGTTTCCAACCTTATCTGAACGGGCCTTTACAGTGGTGATTAAAAAATGTGATCGGAATTTCAAATTTGTTTTGCTTCCATTTACTACTTTCGTTCTTCAGGTGAGCGATCTTCTCCATCGTTGTAAAGCAAAGAAATCAGAACTGGAGAAGAACATTCAGACTGTGGAGACACATCGTCATGAAGCACACAGTGCTCTTCAGCTACTACGTGAAGATGTCGGCCAAGCATGTCATACGAAGGTTAAGCAACTAGAAGACAACCGATGTGCACTCGTTGAGAAGATCAATGCTCTGGAGCGTGGTTTCGATGAAGCCCTCAACGGTGTCAAATCGAAGGACGAACAGATGATCAAGAGCATTTGTAGTTCGTTAGATCTGGTGGCTAATGGCAGACTAGGATGTCTTGAGGCGGACAGTCTGGTTGCTCACACATTCCTTTGCGAAGAGATTGATGGCTTGCTAAAGGAGGCTGTTGATCAAACCTTTGTAGCAACCATACGAGAGAAGGCACAGAAACAGAGGTTCACTCCTTCAGAAGACACTAGTCTTGACCTTGGAAATATCGCAGAAACAGAGGCTGAGGCTGCACTGGATGGCATACTGAAGGGCGCTTCCGATGACACTTCTGCAGCAACCATGGGAGAGGAAGCCCGGGAGAAGAGGTCCCAATTGCCACAAACACTGGCCAGACCACAGTCCATAAGTCAACCAAAACCATGTGTCATTAAGAGTGTAGCTCTACGTGACAATTTTGAAGCGATGACAAAATACAACAATAACTCAGTGGCAATCACATATCGGAAGCCAAATGAAATTGATATCTTTAGTTCAGATGAAGATGTACCTTGGAATTATTCCCAAATTCCAAACGGAATGAAATGTTTTGATGTTGTATTTCAAAGTGACATGACTCTATGCGTATCTACAGGTCATACAAAGGTACACAGGTATTCTCGAAGTGGCGCTCGGAAATCTACCACCGGAGTGAAAAGCAGTGGACATTTTGTAAGGTTGAGTAGGAGTCAATCAGATGAAATTCTCATGACTCAACATTCTAACTATGTTTCCATCTACGACCCCTCTGGAAAGACACTCAAACACAATTTGCCAACTACACACGAAATCACTTACCAGGCATCTCCAACGAAGTCGGGTTTGATCGTCACAAATTGTTCTTTCAGGAAAACTAAATACCCAAGGATGGTGATGGTGTATGACAGGGACGGGAATTCCGGGAGGTATCTACAATCTCCACAGGGTGTCCACCTGTATCACGCCGTGGACGAGCAGGACAGGGTGTATGTAGCGAGTTTTGATCAAAACACCGGACAAGTGCTGATCAGGCTCTATGAACTTGATGGTCTGAACCTGAAGGAGAGAGGACGGTTCAGTCCACAGTACGTGAAAGTAGGTCATGCATTATGTCGCATGGTTTCTCTCACTCCACACACACTTGCATTTGCTTCTTTAAATAGACTCTATTTCTTAGAAGTTAAATTGTAATTGGCCCAGTTTGATTTCATGGTACCTTTTGGATGTTACTGTAAGTCACTGGTTCAATATCGAACATAACCATGCCAATACAGATTTTCTTTACGTATTTCTAAAGATAGTGATAATGATTCGATGACCTGATGTCACGAAATTGTTAGTGTTATTATAAATACTAATAAATAAATACCGAAAACAATAGTTCGTTCTTGTACTGCGCTCATGTCTGTCAAACCTGACACTCTTGGCGCTTTACAATTATTACCCCGGCTTGAGCTTGGCTGCCATTATGGCGCTCTAGCATTTCAAGAACTTAATTCCTGCCGTTTACCTCACCTGGGTCGAGTGTTGCAAATGTTGATAACGTCTTACAAAAGGTCATTAGTGTCGTGGTGGGACTCGAACCTTGAGAACCACAGTCTAGTCACCGATCTAATAGATCATGGCACAATAGAAGTACCATAGAAGTACAATAGTTGACAGGCGATGAAGAAACATTTATGACTCAAGTGGAGAGGTATAAAATATTTTTGCCATAGTTGGGAATCAAGATTTGAATATATGTTTTAAGGATGTTCTCAAGTACATGTACACCTGGGCGCGTTTCACAAATCTTGTCATCAATGACATATGACAGTTTTTGTGATAAGCTATTGAAACCCTTGCTTCTGATTGGTTATCAGCAGCGTTGTCACTGAATTTTGTCATTTGTCATTCAAAAAGGGGCTTTGTGAAACGCCCTCCAGAAGGCATGCGGATATGCCCATGTGAACAAAAATGAGTACATGATATTGAAAATGAAATATGATAAAGTAAATGTATATAAATTTATAAGGTAGAAAGTGAAACTGATTCATACCAAGAACATATATTTTTCTTTTTATTGATTTTCCCGTTAAAGGGATAGTTGATTTCTTGTTTCAGACTGCAAATGCCTTCAAAGTTCATGGTTATTGCTCTGATTCTTATTTATGACATTTCTAGTGCTCTTTTAGGACCTAAAATTGCTATGAAGGTAATTTTGTACCCCGAAATGTGTGAAATTTGCTAAAACGATCATACCAAATCAGCTCCACTTTCCCCAAAATACGGTGACCGTTAGTTAATTAGTTAATTAAAAATAACAATACACGGGCCGGCTGGTTGTGTGAATTGTAACCAACACGAAATAGTCAACAAAAACCCAACATCGGCTTCGGCTGCAATAAATTGTATAGGTTCTAGGCGCTATCTAGTTTTTTCAACGGCTGGTTCAAATTATAGAATATTTGTGGGGCACCACAGATATTAGAAATCGTTATATTTATGGATATTTCAGCCGTCTCTGATTCGATTTAGATCAAACAAAGATGATTATGTCATTTAAATTGTTTGTTGTTCCAAATTTGACACTCAGGTTTTCATTATCTCGCAAACAAATATTTTGTGTAGCGCCCTCTGCAACAAAACTCAACTATCCCTTTAAGAATTTAAACGTCACAGTTTTATGGTAATGCCACGGTGGTGTATGATAGTTTAAGCGATCATTATACATACGACCTTTTTTAGCAGCTGCCATGTAGAAATATTTTACAATAAGCCGAGTGTTTAATTAAAATTATGCTTATCTGAATCTGTCTATCTGATATATTTTGTATTGACAGGGCATATAAATATATGAGTAGAAAGGCCACTTTCGCATTAGTACCTCGTGTGCTTCTACTTTCTGGGTCGAATTTTCATCGACATAAAACTGCGCCAATTACACGTATGAATAATCAGAGCCATGGATATTCAGAATTTGGCCTACCACAGTGGCGGATCCAGAGGTCCAGGGGGCCCGGACCCCCACCCCTGAGGAAAAACACGTTAATTTTACATCTTGTTGGAGTTCCCCCCCCCTCCTGGCGCCGGCATGGTTAAAATATGACGAAAACTGTTTTGTGATTACTCAGTCACACCGCCAAACCGACTGACTTAAACAAACTGTTTGATCAGTCTGTTGTCGATCTAGGGTTGGTTGCTTCAATGTGACTTGGGTATGCATGTACCCAAAGGCCAAAGCGTATTGAGAGAGATAGTTGTTACCAGGGGCGTATCTAGCTATTTGCTAAGGGGGGGGGGCCTAACTCCCCCCCACACACACACACACACACACACACACAAACACACACACACCCTAGATCCTTCCCTGGTTACACGCATCTACGCGTACGCGGGATGGGCCACAGGTTATATCATGGAGCTTCATAAAATGCCGGACAAATCAGAAGCAACTTCGGTTGGACGTAACTATCTATCTCAATAAACAGTAGGCTTGCGGGTGCACCATGTGTGTGAGAGAGAGAGAGAGAGAGAGAGAGTGAGAGAGAGGGGATTGAGGAATCCTGAAAAAGGACTGTCGGTAATCTTTCTTGAGGGTGTGTAGTCCTGAAAAGGACTGTTTGTGTAGTCTATCTCAAGTAGCTCGAGTAGCCATATTGTGCCCAAGTGAAGATGGCTTTGGCGCTGATAAACGTTGGAGAGCCGGGAGCGTCCAGGCTTGATGGACAATGAGCTCTGTACCAGATCTAGAATCCGCCATTACTATTATTATTATCGTCTGTCCCATTGTGTAGCCAGACACGGAGTTGGAGACAAAAGTAGGTAAACAAACAGAATCATAGTCAGGAAAATGAAAAGAACTTCGTTGTTACACGGGCATTGTAATCGCTGACGAACTTTGGACCTCCGATTATCTAATGCTCGAAGAAATTCAGAATGAGCCTGTAGTTGCTTTTCAAAAGAACGAAGGATGATTTACTGACAGTTTATACATGGGCCTGATTATGATATTATATCATATCTATCTACAGAATTACTTCGTGTTGTCTAGAAAATAACTGGGTCCCAAAGAAGTAAAATAATTTTCAGTCTGCAAGGCATCACTGGTAAATGGTTAATAGTGATTCATTTATGCCAATGAATGAAATAAGAAGGAACATTCGTTTTTTCATGGGCAAAAATGCATATGTACCATCAGTTTTTTTAATTGTTATCATTGAAACTATGCCAATAATTAGGTGGATGTTTTTAAGATGTAATTAAAATAAATTGGTTAACCCGGGATCGCAGCGTGATTGTCCTCACAACTTTTGTCTTCTGTCTGATATTTCTTTATCTTGCTCTCTTCCTCTCTCTCTCTCTTATCTGTATGTATTTGTAATGGAGTATATACATGTGTACGTCTCTTTCTCCATTTATAATAAAGATTTGTTAAGATCAAATATTCTCCTCTCACTCTTTCTTCTTTTTTCCTCGATCCCCACCCTCTCTCTCTTTTTATCTTTGCAAATATCTTCAAGAAAATATCCTCTGCAGAAAATAATTACCAAAAGAGTTTCATGCAGTGTCATAAAATCAATAACGTCCCATGATGAGGAACATTTTGAAACATCAAATAAAATTAGTGTATAGTTCCTCCCTATATGAAAAGAGGTGCTAATACTTCCCTATATACTTCTTTTTTCCTCCGTCTTCTCTATTTCTTTGTACCCTATGTCTTCAACTTCCTTCCTCCTTCCTCCTACCCCTTTCTCTCTCCCTCTTTTCTACGATTGTTTATCTCTCTCTCTCTCTCTCTCTTCCCTAGCTCCCGCCCACTTTCATTCTCCTGTCTTTTTTCCAATTCCAAATCTCTCTCCTTATTCCTTTCTCCACCCCCTTTACCAATATATCTCCTTTTAATTCTCTCTTCCCCGTCTTCTTTATCTCTTTGTTGATTCTCTTTCAATGATTTGATATGCTTGTATAAATTAGAATATAATAGTAAACAAATGTTAAGGGTTTATCCCCACAGCAGCCAAAAGCTGTAATATAGGTACTTTCCTTACATTTGAGGGGTACCACAAGGATCCGTCATATAAAATATCAAAAGAAAGACACATATTAAATGTAAAATTTACACATGATTTAAATGAATATACGTTTAAGAAAAAACACCCTTTGCTTTGGTGAAACTACTATATTGAGTTATCCCGATTTTCACAAGGCATATGTATTGATGTAAAAACGTGATATAAATCCCTGGATTGTTCAAAGTTACTCTAAATTTTGTTACTCCCGAAATATCCTCTGTCTCACCGTCTATATGTTATATTTTCTCATTTATTAAGATAATAGTGGACTTCGAGCTTTTAAATTTACCAGAAAATCACGATGATGACAATTACTTTTAATTTATTTTATTAAGAAATGCTAATGATTATATATATATATATATATATATATATATATATATATATATATATATTGTGTTTAAGGGGTAAATGCTTATACATTATCCCTATACATTGAGGTCTGCAGATACCCCCATGTATACACCAGACACCATTGCCTTTCCAAAGGCAAGCAATTAAAAGCAAGCTAGGATAACGCATTGCTTATTGTGTCCCAGTTAGTTAGCAATTTGTATAAAGATACGTACGCCACTGTTGAAGGATGTGATACACATATACTGTATGTAGAAAGGACAATTTTGGTTTATTACATACAAATGAGATGACTACAATAGCACGCAGTATAATCGACGTGATGAGATCGAAGTCAAAGGTTAAAATGGCGCTCTCTGGGAAAAACCCACCAGTACTACTACAAATAAGGCATCAATTCAGGGCGCAGCGCCTATTTGCAGCGTAGGCACCATTGACGTTGTGTACGTTAACATTTGGGTAGATAACTTGTGTTTATAATGTGACGTACACGTATTCCGTAATAATCAGAACATATATCGAGTAAGGCCTGCAGATATCATGTTTATATCACCATCAAGATCGCAGATATAGATATATTCTTCAGGTAAACAATAAACTCTTCAAACATACATGATTTAGTGCAGCTATATGCTTAATTGCTTTCTCTAATTTGTTACCGGTGCGCACATCACATCCATGGCCGAGAAGCAGGAAGAAGAGGACGTTCCGATCTCTTTACAAGGCTTGACATGTCCACTGTGTCTTGGTATCTTCGACGATGCAACCCTCTTGACCTCTTGTGGACATACCTTCTGTCGACCCTGTCTCAGGAAATATGACCTATCCCACCAGGATCTTGATCACATGGTCTGCCCTCTCTGCAGGACAGTGACGAAGTTGTCCTCAAACCGGGTCGACGATCTCCTCCCCAATGTAACGGTCAACGGACTCGTGGACGACCACCGTGCCAGGCCTGGAGGGGGCAGTGCGATACTGGAGATGCGGCAAAAGTGCACTGTCTGCAACCTCCAGGTAGAGGCCATCGCTTTCTGCAGTACATGCGATGCATACATGTGTGATCAATGCTGCGTTGGCCACAAACAACAGAAGCTGTTATTCGAAGGTCATGAGATCGTATCTATCCAGGATAACGTTCAGGGAAATTCTAAACCTGGTAGTCGCTCCGAGAAATGTTCCGTCCACAGACAAGAGAACAAAAATACTTTCTGTCAGGATTGTAAGATACGCGTCTGTTTCAAGTGCGTCATCGTCGATCATCGAGATCACAAGATACAATCACATCAGGACTTCGAAAAGGAAATGCAGGTTAAGGTACGTAGTCTAGTGGCAGGTCATTCATGATCCGTCTTAAATATCTTGTTCGAATAATTATTTACATATACAGTAGGTTTGCGGTTGCACCATGTGTGAGAGAGAGAGAGGTTTGAGGAGTACTGAAACGGACTCTGACTCGGTAATCTTTCTTTGAGGAGTGTAGTCCTGAAAAAAAACTGTTTGTTATCTTTCTTAGCATATAGTTCTCAGGAGAACTATAGCGCTTGGAGAGGATGAGTGGCTCGACGTTTCGAACAGGTTGACTATCCGTCGTCAGGAGTGGAGAATGGCTGGCGTGCGTGTATGGCACGCCTTTAGGGAAACAAATAAATATATGCGACACTTTCAAAAATATATTTCACTCAAATGTATATAGAATAGAATCTATTCGACACTTTCAGAAAATATTTGACAAGTTTTATTTGACAAGAATTTTATTCGACATAAATTTCATTCGACACATTGTTCGTCAAAAATTGTATTTGTCAACAAATTTATTCGACAAAAATTTTATTCGACAAAATTTTTATTCGACACAAATTTTATTCGACACAATTTCATTCGACAAAAATTTTATTCGACAAAAATTTTATTCGACATAAATTTCATTCGACACAAATTTCATTTGACACAAATTTTATCCGACACAAATTTTATTCGACACAAATTTCATTCGACACAAATTTTATTCGACAAAAATTTCATTCGACACAAATTTCATTCGGCACAAATTTTATTCGACACAAATTTTATTAAACCAGAATACATATACACACAACTAAACCTGCACCGTGCACACCCGCGCAACAGGCGCGTTTACGATACAAAGACTATAGATCCACGTCGCGGCCCATATAGCCTCTGGTCAATGAACAGTGGGTTTGGATTGTTTGAGGGTGATGAGAGATGAGAAGAGGGAGGGCAACGTCATGTAGCCTGGATGGTTAGGGGCTTGTTGGGGGGGGGCGCTAAGGGGGTACAAATTAGTGTTTATTACCTACTTTGTTCATTTTTTCATTTACTATATAGATTGTTTTAGGGTGATACAAATGAAGGTGTGGACATACTGATGTAGTCACCCCGGGTAAAGAGCTAGTGGATGGGGGGGGGGGAGGGGAGGTACGTGGAAACGAAGTAGGTAATATACACTCCTTTATATTCCAATAACGCCACCCTCACCACCACCACTATCCCATTCAATTCCAGTCTACATCACTATGCCCTCCCTCTTCTCATCATCCTCATGCAAACAATCCTACCCACTGTTAATAATTAATAAAGTAGGTAATATAATCATACATATACTGTATACATACTCTTTTGAAAGCAGGCCATTGACCTTCAATGCAATTCAATGTATTTCTCCACAAATGCCAAACATAGGAAAATACATAAAATCAAATACATACATGCAATAAAACGACTCCAATTTATGTTTGAAATAGAAAAAAATCAGCAGAGGTAGAAAGGGTAGTCGAGGACTACCCCCCCCCCCCCAATAATAATAACAAATTGTACAATCAAAAGTAAATATAAAGTCAAATGATGAGGTGGTGCCAATAACGGGAAAGAAGAGGGAGAAAATATCAAAGACGGGGGGGGGGGTGCTTCCGTGAATGTTTACAAAAATTAATGATGGATTATACTTGAGTATCAGGAATAACCTTAACTTAGCCTCAATGAATACAATGAAGGACAATTGATATCAGGTGGAACATGACTCCATAACATATAGGCCAATTGAAGGCTTTCCATTTTTGTAAGAAAGTCTTAGCTATTATGGGTATATGAAAACTAATACATTTCTTGCCATAAGTATTATAGAAGAGTTCTGTATAAAAAGGTCATCATAGACAGGTGGCAAGTTGTTATGTTTGTACTGGAACATGAATTGACCGAGCTGCATTAACATTTAAAATATTCATCCGTTTTAATAGGGGTGCAGTATGTGCACAACCCCCCCCCCCCCCCCCGCAAAAGTAGGTCTGTAGATTCAATAACCATGCAGTGTATCACTTTAACACCCGCACGTGCGTCTTATATACACATGTGCATGTAGAGCTGTTGACTACGGAAGCGTTAAAGTGCCATTCTACTTGACGACATGACGAGATATTTCATCTTGTCAAGTCGACCTAATATCCATATTATGTCGACATGTAAAGATATTTAACCTACCATGTCGACTTATCAACTTTTATTCGTCGACATGGCGAAATAAATTATCTTGCCAAGTCGACTTCACAAAAAGTTCATGTCGTCATGGCGACATAAGTTATCTTACCAAGTCGACTTCTAAAACAATACATGTCGTCATGGCGACATAATTATCTTACCAAGTCGACTACCCAAAAAGAAATGTCGTCATGGCGACATGTATTATCTTGCCAAGTCGACTTCACAAAAAGTTCATGTCGTCATGGCGACATGTATTATCTTGCCAAGTTGACTTCGCATAAAGTTCATGTCGTCATGGCGATATAAGTTATCTTGCCAAGTTGACTTCGCATAAAGTTCATGTCGTCATGGCGAAATAAATTATCTTGCCAAGTCGACTTCACAAAAAGTTCATGTCGTCAATTCGACATAAGTTATTTTGCCAAGTTGACTTCGCATAAAGTTCATGACGTCATGGCGAATAAATTATCTTACCAAGTCGACTTCACAAAAAGTTCATGTCGCCATGACGACATGAACTTTTTGTGAAGTCGACTTGGCAAGATAATTTATTTCGCCATGTCGACATTACTTTTTGGGTAGTCGACTTGGTAAGATAATATATGTCGCCATGACGACATGTATTTTTTTAGAAGTCGACTTGGTAAGATAACTTATGTCGCCATGACGACATGAACTTTTTGTGAAGTCGACTTGGCAAGATAATTTATTTCGCCATGACGACATGAACTTTTTGTGAAGTCGACTTGGCAAGATAATTTATTTCGCCATGTCGACATTACTTTTTGGGTAGTCGACTTGGTAAGATAATATATGTCGCCATGACGACATGTATTTTTTTAGAAGTCGACTTGGTAAGATAACTTATGTCGCCATGACGACATGAACTTTTTGTGAAGTCGACTTGGCAAGATAATTTATTTTGCCATGACGACATGAACTTTTTGTGAAGTCGACTTGGCAAGATAATTTATTTCGCCATGTCGACATTACTTTTTGGGTAGTCGACTTGGTAAGATAATATATGTCGCCATGACGACATGTATTTTTTTAGAAGTCGACTTGGTAAGATAACTTATGTCGCCATGACGACATGAACTTTTTGTGAAGTCGACTTGGCAAGATAATTTATTTCGCCATGACGACATGAACTTTTTGTGAAGTCGACTTGGCAAGATAATTTATTTCGCCATGTCGACATTACTTTTTGGGTAGTCGACTTGGTAAGATAATATATGTCGCCATGACGACATGTATTTTTTTAGAAGTCGACTTGGTAAGATAACTTATGTCGCCATGACGACATGAACTTTTTGTGAAGTCGACTTGGCAAGATAATTTATTTCGCCATGTCGACTAATAAAAGTTGATAAGTCGACATGGTAGTTTAAATATCTTTACATGTCGACATGATATGGATATTAAGTCGACTTGACAAGATGAAATATCTCGTCATGTCGTCAAGTAGAATGGCACTTTAACGCTTCCGTAGTTGACTGTATATAGTTAGGAACTAGAAATAATAAAAACATTTCTTTTTTAAACATCACTTTATTGTTCAATCTTGCACAACAAAGGAGAAGATACAAAAGCCCCGGACAATTCCATTTTACTGGAAAATGCAGGGCATTAAAAGTACATACAGTGTATAATGTTACATAACATCAACAAAGTAAAAGTATAGGATAAATTGATGGCCTGCCTGAGCCAGCTAGCCCAGTTACATGTAGCTATGTAGCTGCGCTGCATGCCTAGACTACCTACATGCCGGTGCGTGGGTCCGACCAGAGGCTATAGGCCTTCCTAGTCTTCGTACTGTAAACGCGCCTGTTGTGTAGTTTGCAGGCACAAACCCTGGTCAGTCTTAAAAGAGAGTCTGCACTATAAGACTACCATAGGCCATGTAGCTGCTCCTGACACAACCAGTAGGTAGCTGGGCTAGGCTTCTCTCAAGGCACAATTATTTTTTAATAAAGTGTTAAATTAGGGTCTGTGCTTGCAGACTACCTGTTGCGCGCGCGTGTACTACTGCACGGTTCAGGTGGTTGTGTAAAGTATCGCATATATTCTGTTTGAATAAAATTCGTGTCGAATAAAATGTGTGTCGAATAAAATTTGTGTCGAATGAAATTTGTGTCGAATGAAATTTCGTGGCATGCATTATGTATGGAACGCCAAATAGCTCCTTTGTTGAATACATCTTTTTCATTGAATACCTTTATTATTGGGTAAAAAGTAAAATAATTCCTTGGAATAATATTTTTGTAGAACAAAACAAAATGAGCCAAATAAGATTTTGTCGAACTAAATTTTTGTCGAATGAAATTTTTGTCGAATGAAATTTTTGTCGAATGAAATTTTTGTCGAATAAAATTTTTGTCAAATGAAATTTGTGTCGAACAAAATTTGTGTCGAATAAAATTTTTGTCGAATAAATTTGTTGACAAATACAATTTTTGACGAACAATGTGTCGAATGAAATTTATGTCGAATAAAATTCTTGTCAAATAAAACTTGTCAAATATTTTCTGAAAGTGTCGAATATATACATTTGAGTGAAATATATTTTTTGAAAGTGTCGCATATATTTATTTGTTTCCCTAAAGGCGTGCCATATGCGTGAGCTTAAGTCACCGGGGTGCGGACGTCAGGGGAAAATAGGTGACCGTGTCGGCTTGAGTCATCGTGGAGTGGGCATGGATGGTCGGCTGGTAATTCGTCTGACTTTCCGCCTGGGCTGGATTCTCCGGCTTGCGGACTTTTGAGTTTTGAGTAGATGAGTGGGGTGTGCTGTCGGCGAGACACTGTGTGTGTCCCCGACGTAGGCGGCGTTGTAGTCTGTTGTCGTCCGCTGTGCATTGTAGCTGTGAGGCTGGCGGCTGCTTTGAGGGTTCGGCTGGTGGCGGTGGTTGATGTACGGGTGTCTGTCGGGGTGGTGAGGGCGGTGCTGGAGGCGGTGCTGAAGGAGGAGTGACCGGGTACTTGTTGATGAGAGGTTTCCAGATGTCGTTGATGTATAGTCCTGAGTCTTGGGGCACGGTGTTGTGGCGGTAAATTTCGATGGCTTCTCGGATTCGACGTGTATGCCAGTGTTTCATTATGGAGATGAGATGACTGTTATCCCATTCGATGGTGTGTTCGTGTTGCTGGGCGTGGTTGTCTGCAACCGTAAAGCCAAGTGCCTTCACGGAATAAATACTACCAATTACCTATTAACTATACACCTGGAATGGGTGTAACATATGTTAAATAATGTCTTGCTAAAGAATATTAGTGCCGTTGCCGGGATTCAAAACCTGTAACTTCTACCCGCCCCCCCCCCCCCCACTCGGTGTTATTTAGGGTACGCATATGCTCGTTCCCTCTTTTTGAAAGCACCCCCTATCTGAGGGCTGCCAACATTTTCGAACCCCCCTTTCGCGGGCTTTTCCTGCCTTGGAAACCCTTCTAAATCAGGAAAAATGCTCAATGTACCCCCCTAAATTCGGAATAATTTCTCAGGTGTCCAAAGAGATGAGAGAAAAAAAAGAAAAAACACCCCCTTTTTAAAAAAATCTCCGGGTGAAAAGTCAAATACACCCCTTTTTTTTTTACAATTTTCGGGCCAGATTTTGTCGCACGAAAAGTACCCCTTTACCGGACATTTTGGCAACACGCATGCGGTCATTCCGACCCCTGAGTGGGGGAAGGGAGGACCTTCTTGAAGTTCTAGTACACATACCACAGTACCATTAATCTTTCTGTCATATTTGTGAAAATCTGTTGACCTTAAATTATATATTATATATTATCCATCAAAAGGTTAATTATAATTATCAATTACAACGTTATTAACAACAGCCTAGGGTCCAGGATTCTCTAGCGGTGGGTTTGGGGGGGGGGGTCGCTTAAACCCTTATAATTACTACAACATTCTCTGACAAGCACAATAACATAAAATGTTGTCACGTAGTGCCTCTCCCCCCCCCCCCCCCCCCCCCCCTCCCCTTGGCTTAGCGATAACATACTCCATGCAGTCACACCAATGAGACCAAACTCATACCGACAAAACACCGAACAATCTCCCCCAAATGGCTAAGAACCTATTTTGGGAGTCGGTATAAACACGGTTTGGTAGTGTAACTGGAGTATAAAAGGGTTTTGAGCCAACCAGCACAATCGACATGATCTTGCGCTTTGAGCAAAAGTACTCTGATGACTGTACAGTAAAAAAAAAAATCAATATATCAAGGTTTGCGCAAACTTCGCAGATATCTGTGCAGTAAATTTTCAATATATATTATGAAGCAGTGTCAGACAGAGGACAATTATCTAGAAAAAAAGCTATCTAGATAATAATTATCTAGATAATTGGCTGTCTGTCATCAACTATCCCGCGAAAAATCCAACCACGAACCAAGAAGATTCTCTGTTATCGAGATTTTTCATGGGATTTTTCGCTGGATTTTTTTTGACTGTCACCAATGTTGAAACTTCTCCCGAAAAATCCCGTTAAAGGTCAGTGTAAGATCAACTATTGAGTTTGATTTGCATGTTTTTCATGTTTGTGTACTTTTTATACTTTTACCTTCGTGACTGTGACTGTGTTCAAATTTGGAAAATAATTCAATTCAAATCAATATGAGGACATCGAAGATGACGTGTACTGTTGGAACTTTCAGTGTTCAGTATTATTTGACACGCTCGTTCACTTCTTTAATCATTAGCACATTGAACAGGGTCCTGTGGATTTATTAACACACATACACAAATATAAGTAGGTTTATTCGGTTAGGACCCTCGTCTCTGTCTCCCTCTATTTTGTAATTCACCAATAATACCAAGTGCTAGTTTCGTTACTGACGGATCAACCCTGTTCAGATAAAATAAATAGATGAAATAATCTAATAAAGTAATAAATTAATAACGCCATATCTGAACGAGCCTTTACAGTGATGATTAAATATGTGATCAAAAATTCACCTTCAAGTGAGAATCATTTGTTTTCTCTCCCTATACTTTCGTTCTTCAGGTGAGTGATCTTCTCCATCGTTGTGAAACAAAGAAATCAGAACTGGAGAAGAACATTCAGACTGTGGAGACACATCGTCATGAAGCACACACTGCTCTTCAGCTACTACGTGAAGATGTCAGCCAAGCCTGTCGTACCAAGGTCAAGCAACTAGAAGATAACCGACGTGTACTCGATGAGCAAATCGATGCTCTGGAGCGTAGTTTTGATGAAGCCCTCAACGTGGTCAAATCGAATGATGAACAGATGATCAAGAGCATTTGTAGTTCGGTAGATCTTGTGGGTAATGCTAGACTTGGATGTCTTGAGGCGGACGGTCTGGTTGCTCACACATTCCTTTGCGAAGAGATCGATGGCTTGGTAAAGGAGGTTCTTGATCAAACTTCCGTAGCATCCATAATGGAGAAGGCACATAAGCAGAGATTCAAGCCTGCAGATGACACCAGTCTTGACCTTGGGGATATCTCAGAAACAGAGACTGAGGCTGTATTGGATGACATGCTGAAGGGCGCTTCCGATGACACTTCTGCAGCAACCATAGGGGAGGAAGCCCAGAAGAAGAGGGCCCAGTTTGCGGATGAGGACTTCACGACAGGGCTATCCGTTCCCGAACCACCGTCCAAAAGTCAATCGAAACTCTGTGTCATTAAATGTGTAGATCTACGTGATAATTTCAAAGGGATGACAAAATACACCAATAACTCAGTGGCAATCACATATCATAAAGCACATGCCATTCATATCTTTAATTCAGATGAAGATTTACCGTGGACTTATTCCAACATTCCAAACGGTATGAAATGTATTGATCTTGCGTTTCAAAGTGACATGACTCTATGCGTATCTACAGGTCATACAAAGGTACACAGGTATGGCCCCAATGGCGTTCGGGAATCTACTACCGAAGTGACAAGCAATGGATTTTATTTGCGGTTGAGTAGGAGTCAATCAGATGAAATTCTCATAACCCAACATTCAAAACATGTCTCGATCTACGACCCCTCGGGAAACACACTCAAACACGATGTGCACACAAGACACAATCACACTAACCATGCATCTGCGACCAAGTTGGGTTTGATCGTCACAAGTTCTTGTTACAGCAAACAACGTGACAATCCAAGGATAGTGAGGGTCTATGACAGGGATGGGAATTCCGGGAGGTATCTAGAAACTCCACTTGGGGTCCACCTGTATCCCGCCGTGGACGAGCAGGACAGGGTATATGTAGCGAATGTTGATCACAATACCGGACACGTGCTGATCAGGCTCTATGACCTTGATGGTTTGAACCTGAAGGAGAGATTTCAATTCAATCCGCTTGATTTGGCAGTAGGCCGTGGATTATGTCGCCTTGTTTCTCTCACTCCACAAACACTTGCATTTGCTTCTTTAAATAGACTCTATTTCTTAGAAGTTAAATTGTAATTGGTCCAGTTTGATTCCATGGTACCTTTGAGTACAGACCCTTTTGGATGTTACTGTAAGTCACTGGTTCAATAGCAAGAGCGTCGCACTTAACCATGCCAATACAGACTTTCTTCACGTACTTCTAAAGATAGTGGTATAATGATTCGATGACCTAATGTCACGCAATTGTAAGTGTTATTATAAATACTAATAAATAAATATCAAAAATAATAGTTGGTTCTTGTACTGCGCTCATGCCTGTCAAACCTGACACTCTTGGCGCTATACAATTATCACCCTGGCTTGAGCTTGGCTGCCATTATGGCGCTCTAGCATTTCAAGAACTTAATTCCTGCCATTTACCTCACCTGGGTCGAGTGTTGCAAATGTTGATAACGTCTTACAAAAGGTCATTAGTGTCGTGGTGGGACTCGAACCTTGAGATCCACATGCAGTCTCAGTCACCGATCCACTAGATCACGGCACATCGAAGTACAATAGAAGTACGATAGTTGACAGGCGATGAAGAAACATTTATGACTCAAGTGGAGAGGTATAAAATATTTTTGCCATAGTTGGGAATCAAGATTTGAATATATGTTTTAAGCATGTTCTCAAGTACATGTATACATGGGGGAATGTTTCACAAACACTAAGATCGACTGTAAGTTGGACTTAACTATGGCAGGCCATTCATGCCACTGGTTTTCTCACTATTAGTCTCTCAATGATGATCTTTAGATAATACTTTTTCCTTTAATAATGAACTATAAAAAATGTAAGCTCTGTAGATTTGTGACCACGATTTATACGTCCCTTGATCGAGAGAACAATGCCAGTAAATGGTTAGAGCAAACAATGGCTTGAACGGCATGCCATAGTTAAGTCCAACTTAAAGTCGATCTTAGTCTTTGTGAAACATCCCCCTGGAGGCATACTAGTATGCCCATATGAACACGCAAGGCAGACTTTTGTCGGGCTCCTGCCCCTTGTACCCCCTTGGATGCAAAAATGAGTACAGTGTATATGATATTGAAAATGAAATATGATATGTAAATGTGTAAATATATAAGGTAGAAAGTGAAACAAATTCACACCAAGAACATTTTTTTTCCTTTGTATTAATTTTCCCATTAAAGGGATAGCTGATTTCCTGTTTCAGACTGCAAATGCCTTCAAAATGCATAGTTATTGATCTTATTCTTATTTATGACATTTCTAGAAATCGTAAAATTTATGAATATTTCATAAATATTTTGATCAAACAAATATGATTATGTCATTTAAATTGTTTGTTGTTCCAAATTTGACACTCCATTATCTCACAATCAAATATTTTGTGTAGCACCCTCTGCAACAAAACCCTATTATCCCTTTAAGAATTTAAACGTCACAGTCTTATAGTAATGCCACGGTGGTGTATGATAGTTTAAGCGAGCATTATAAATACGACCTTTTTGGCAGCTGAAATGTACAAATATACAATAAGCCGAGTGTTTAATTAAAATTATATGCATATCTGAATCTGTCTATCTGACATATAGCCTTACATTTTGTATTGACAGGGCATATATACCCAATAAACAAAATCACGTGAAAATCACGTCAATATCAAGGTATCGACTTGAGGAGAGTTACGTTCTTCAAACACCGTACATTTACGTAAATGTGTTAATACGTTTATTGCATTAGGTAACTTAAAACACACGTACACTAAATCACGCAATTGTCACTGCAATATCACCATTATAATAACGTGATTATCCCTACCTTGGAGACCATGGTTTGTAAACCTAATACTCCCGTGTTTGTTTGGTTATGAAATTACATCTTCATACACGAAATTATCGCGTCACAGAAACACGTGAAGCGTTAATGATAGTTTTAGTCAAAATATCTGCGTGAAATTCACGTGAATATTACGAGGCTGACTTGAGATGAATCATGTTCTATATTCACGTGAAATTTACGTCGAAGAGGAAGTATATTACTGTAACCCGCGTTCAACCCAATAATTTTATTACCCAAATGTTACACAATAAATGAACCAAAATAATGACGTTCTCATCCCGTTTCTGAACATCGTGTCTTGGATCTTCCATAATTACGTCCAGGCGCGCCGGAAGCAGTTTGGGATTAGAGGGGGTTGGGTGGGGGGGGGGGGTTCAAACATCCCAGAAGAGAAAGCTAGTTGCAACTGGTCCAGTTGATGAACCATTTTTAATGCCAACTGGTAACCCTGGAAATTGAAATGGGCTAAATGATCCAGTTGATCCAGGCCAGTTATAATTCAATTGGTCTAGCTGAGCCATTAGAACCATTTGGTAAAACTTCCAACCAGTTGAACAGCAACAATACTTCAATACTGGTACGTCTGTATTTCCAATGTAAGGGCATTGGTAATAAGTAGCCTTACATAATTGAATTAATCGAAAAAAATTCGTATACTTGTACTTTATTGAAATTATTTTAGTTCACAGTTAATGTTTCCCTTATTCATGTTTAACTATTTATACGAAGTAGCGAAATGTCCTAATAACTGGTAATTTATATTTGTAGTATTTTCGAAATGAATTGCATATAACTAAATCATCAGTAATTAAGAAATATGCTGTAAATTCAGATAAATTGTTTAAAAATCATAGATCTGCACGCACCCCATATTCAATATGCAAATGAATTGGTGTCAGCTGGGTCAACTCGAAATATGCCAACGCTCAGTCATCAACTGGTGCAACTGGAAATGTACACACTCCAGTTATCGACTGGTGCAATGAAAATATGCCAACAGTCAGTTATCAACTGGTGAACATAGAAATATGCCAACAGTCACGGGATTATCACCATAGTAACTGTGAAACCATCAAGACACCCAAGAATAACTCATTTTCACACATGGAAAACACGGAATACCCAGCTTATATTAATAATCCGTTTGAGTCACGCGATCATCACCGCGGAACTGCTGGCAACTTTGACTACGATTTAAATAGGTGTTTTAAGACACCTAATCATGACTAATTTTTCACACCTAAAAGTCACGTATGCCCAGCTTAGATTAATAATCCGTTTGAGTCACGAGATCATCACCGCGGAACTTATGGCAACTTTGACTTCCATTTAAATAGGTGTTTTAATACACCTGGTATTGACTAATTTTTCACACCTAAATATCACGGATTCACAGCTTAGATTAGTAATCAGTTTTAACTACGTGATCATCACCAAGAAAGTTATGGTAACTTTGAAACCATTTAAATAGGTGTTTTAAGACACCTAATAATGACTAATTTTTCACTCCTAAAAGTCACGTATGACAAGCTTAGATCAATAATCCGTTTGAGTCACGAGATCATCACCGCGGAACTTATGGCAACTTTGACTACCACTTAAAAAGGTGTTTTAAAACACTTAATAATTACTAATTTTCACACCTACATATCACGTTTTCACAGCTTAGATTAGTAATCAGCTTGAGCCACGTTATCATAACCAAGAAATTTATGGTAACTTTGAAACCTTTTGAAGAGGTGTGTAAGACACCTCAGAATTACTAGTTGAATATAACCAGAGGTTCACGGACAGAACAATAAGACGATTAGCCGGTGTAAGTAACGTGATTATTACCATCAACCTTGGATAACCTGTGAAACCAATCAATAAAGGTGCTTACAAGAACAAATAATTACGTATTTATCGCCACCATCGGTTAACTGACAAAAAACTCGTTGCTTGGTCAAGTGGTTATTTGGTCATAAACACTTGATTTACAGAGGTAAGTGGAATCACGTTACTCCAGTCGCGTGATAAACTGGTGGTTTTTAGGTTAGATGAAAACGTGAACAGGAGTACCTTTTTTTGTTTAAATGAAGGCACGTGTCGATAACGTTTAAATCTAGTTCAAAAGGCACTATACTTTAAAATCACTTAAAATACACTCTCAAAAGAGGTTACTTTTTGGTGTTCTGTTTATTGGGTATATATATATATATATGCGTATAAAGGCCGCTTTCACATTATTACCTCGTGTGCTTCTACTTTCTAGGTCGAATTTTCATCGACATAAAACTGTACCAGTTACACGTATGAATAATCAGAGCCATCGGTATTCAGAATTTGGCCAAACCGGTTATAGTTGCGTAGTTAAAATATGGCGAAAACTGTTTTGTGATTACTCAGTCACACCGCCATCGATTGTTTGATCAGTCTGTTGTCGATATGGGGTTGGTTGCTTCGATGTGACTTGGGTATGTATGTACCCAAAGGCCAAAGCGTATTGAGAGAGTTGTTACAAGGGGCGGATCTAGCTTTTTGCTAAGGAGGGTGACCCCTAACCCCCCCCCCCCTAGATCCGCCCCTGGTTTAACGCATCTACGCGTACGCTAAATGGGCCACAGGTTAAATCATGGAGCTTGATGAAATGCCTGTCGAATCAGAAGCAACTTCGGTTGGACGTAACTATCTATCTCAATAAACAGTAGGCTTGCGGGCGCACCATGTTAGAGAGAGAGAGAGAGAGGGGGGGGGGGAGAGGATTGATGAGTCCTGAAAAAAGACTCTCGGTAATCTTTCTTGAGGGTGTGTAGTCCTGAAAAGGACTGTTTGTGTAGTCTATCTCAAGTAGCTCAAGTAGCCATGTTGTGCCCAAGTGAAGATGGCTTTGGCGCTGATAAACGTTGGAGAGCCGGGAGCGTCCAGACTTGATGGACAATGAGCTCTGTACCAGATCTAGAATCCGCCATTATTATTATTATCGTCTGTCCCATTGTGTAGCCAGACACGGAGTTGGAGACAAAAGTAGGTAAACAAACAGAATCATAGTCAGGAAAAGGAAAATAACCTCATTGTTACACAGGGCATTGTATTCTGTGACGAACTTTGGACCTCAAATTAACTAATGCTCGAGGAGCTTCAGAACGAGCATGTTGTTGCTTTTCAAAAGAATGAGGGATTATTTACTGAAAGTTTATACATGGGGCTGGTTGAGACATTATATCATATCTATCTACAGAATGACTTCGTGTTTTCTAGAAAATAAGTGGGTCCCCAATAAGTAAACTAATTTTCAGTCTGCAAGGCATCACTGGAAAATGGTTAATAGTGATTCATTTATGCCAATGAATGAAATAAGAAGTAACATTCGTTTTGTTTTCATGGACAAAAATGCATATGTACCATCAGTTTTTTTAATTGTTATCATTGAAACTATGCCAATAATTAAGTGGATGTTTTTACGATGTAATTAAAATAAATTGGTTAACCCAGGCTCGCAGCATAATTGTCCTTACAACTTTTGTCTTCTGTCTGATATTTCTTTATCGTGCTCTCTCTCTCCCCCCCCCCCCCCCCCTCTCTCTCTCTCTCTCTCTCTCTCTCTATCTTTCTCTCTCTTATCTGTATGCATTTGTAATGAAGTACATGTGTACGTCTCTTTCTCCATTTATATTAAAGATTTGTTAAAGGTACTTTGTCCCTTTTGCAGGCCAAAAAATGAAAAGGTTAAATTCCAATGGCATTCGAAAGATAATATTATTTTAGAACTTCTCTTAAATAATTGGGGCTTGAAAATGTCTTTAAGTGGGAAAATAACGACTATTAGTTGTCAAATCGACTTGGGAGCTATAGAACCAATAAGTTATAGTCTTGATTTTCAGACCATTGTAAAGTGTGGTCGTACGTTTTATGCTGTGCAAAGATTCAATCAGTTTAATTTTGGTCATTACAAGAAGTGGGTTATTGATGTAGACAAATCCTTTACAGCTCATTTTATGTATGTTATTACCAAAGAAGAAGAAAAAGCCAGTCAGTCACTCAATACTGACAATAGTGTCTGACAGTGAAGTCTAGCAAGTAAACGGGTTTCGTTGCATAATTTGAATATTAGGACACTGCTAACGTTTAAATTTCACAGATAGCACATACATGACATATTCATAATTCGTGCAAAGTTCTACAGAATTTGAGGTTGGCTGCAAAAGGGACATAGTACCTTAAAGATCAAATAGTCCCCTCTCACTCTTTCATCTCTCTTTTATTTCTTCCTCGATCCCCACCCTCTCTCTCTCTTTTTATCTTTGCAAAAATCTTCAAGAAAATATCCTCTGCAGAAAATAATTACCAAAAGGGTTTTGTGCAGCGTCATAAAATCAATAATGTCCCATGATAAGGAACGTTATAATAAATCAAATAACATTAGTATTGTCACGAAATTGGTTTCATTTCGTAGATAGCTATTTCGGCGTAGATGGCGTAATTCAAGTTAAATAAACGATGCTATAGTCACGTGTCAATTTCAAGAATATTTGATCGTGCATGTTTTCGACAGTTTTAGTCTAATTACTTTTCTACCATGAATAATTACTTGTTTTCTTCTGTTTAGTTTTATAGATTAAAACTAGTGCTTTGATTTGATATATGGTTTGTTTCAATCTGATTTTGGAAAATGAAGTTATATCAATGTTTATGTAATTCTTGGAAACCTAACGAGAATAACAAATGTCTAAGAAATGTGTATATAAATCAAGTGTCCTGCGTGTCGACGAGTTTCCTGTCATAGTCTACATAATTGCCGTCGCCCACTGGGCACACTTATACTGTAAGGCAATTAGGCTATGTTTGGATATATGCCCAATAAATGTTGCGTGCAAACGAAGTGATTGAAATGATCGTTTGCATGCCTTTCCATGAGGAAGCCTAAGATTGATTTCTGATCTTAGGTGACGACCATGGTTAGGATTTAGGTTGTGTTTGTTTGGTCTTTGCGTTCTAGCATTAGACGATACCAGGGATTGCTCTTTCGGGGGTCTGGAGTAGACGGCTGGTAGGGACTTAGGCAGAGCCAGTGGCATGGTCGAGTAAGCTGACTGTACAGACGGTCTAGTTGTTTGAAGGTGCATGCATGAAGCAAACTGGTGCGGCCAATGGAAGTTGCATGCACAAGCAGACTGGTATAGACGTCTGAAAGGTGCATGAAGCAAACTGGTGCGGCCAATTGGAGTTGCATGCACAAGCAGACTAGTATAGACGTTTGAAAGGTGCAGAAGCGGACTGGTTTAGTCGACTGGTGGTACACGACGGTACAACGGTTGGTAGAAGACGGTGGTGAAGTACAGACCTGTACACGGTCTGGTAGTGTCGAGAGGTGGTGCAAGGTCAACGGGGCAGTATATCTCTGCCAAACGGATCCACGGCGAAATTGGTACCGGACTAGGAAAACATACCAGCAGAAGGCATCCTGACAAGATAAGCTGCTGGGGAGTATTCGACAGAGCTCCGGTTTCGTTACAGTATATACTTTCTCCCCATGAAAAGAGGCGCCAATACTTCCCTACTTCTATTTTCCTCCGTCTTCTCTATCTCTTTGATCGCTATCTCTTCAACTCCTTCCCGCCTTCTTTCCCCTACCCCTCTCTCTCTCTCCCTCTTTTCTACACGTTTATCTTTTTTTCTCTTCCGTTTCTCTTCTCCTTCCGCCCACGTACCTTATTTTAAAAGAGTTCTAGAACTGTTCATATGAAAAATTTATAAACAAACTCCTTTGACATTATGATAGAAATTTGCCCCTTACAAGAATTAGATCAGATAAAAAGAGAAATAAACGACCATGGATTACTCAAGGTATAATAAAATCAATATCTACTCGAATTCGTTTATATACAAAAATCTGAATAAATATAAAAAGTACCGTAATAAATTGACTTCAATTATTCGTTTATCACGCAAACTATACTATTGTAATAAAGTTGAAAATAGTAAAGATGATATTCGATAATTATGGCAAACAATTAATGACATTTTAGGGAAGAAAAAGGATACTCTAAATAATATTGAATTTAAAGACAGTGGTCGTCACATTCAAAACCCCAAAAAATGTTGCTGATGCATTCAATAAATATATTACTAATATTGGACCAGATTAAGCTTCCAAAATAATCAATGAAAAGAATGATTTTTTGAAATACTTATATGATAACGTTAATCAGTCCTTATTTTTTAATCCAGCAAAGATTCATGACAATTTATAAATCTAGCGGCTATGATGAATTATTATATCTTTATTGCAAAAAATAATTCAATTCATAGCTTCCCCGTTATCACATATCTTTAATTTATCTCTTTCCCGACGGGATTTTCCCCGATCCACTAAAAATTGCGAAAATAATACCGATATATAAAAAGGATGATCAATCTAAAATTGCAAACTACCGACCAATTTCTTTATTACCAAGGTTTTCAAAAATGTTAGAAAAATACAATATAAACGTTTATATTCTTTCTCAAATATAAATAACTAATTAATTCCTTATCAATATGGATATAGAGAGAATCACTGTACTCATTATGCTATTATACAATTATGTGACAAAATAACTGATTGCCTCTCTTAAGAAAACGCACTGTAAGCGTTTTAAGGACTTATCGAAGGCATTCGATATCATGGACAATCATATATTAAATGGTAAATTAAAAGCATATTGAGTCAAAGCAGGCGTGTACGCAGGGGGGGGGGGGGTTAAACCCCCCCCCCCCTTGATTTTTTTTTTTATGTGTATCTTTTGTGTCAGTTTTTTGTGAAAACCCACCCCCCCCCTTTTGAGTTTTGTTGTTGTTTTTTTATTTAAAAAAAAAATTATGCTAAAGGCTGACCTAAAAAAGTTGACCTTACCCCCCCCCCCCCCCCCCAAACTGAACAAAATGTCAATTTTTCAAGTTTCGAGACTACCCCTTGAGTTTTTTTTTTATGTGTATCTTTTGTGTCAGTTTTTCGAGACAATTATGTATTACCATGTCACAATTTCGCATACCGCCTTCTTCTAATTTTTAGTTTGAGAGAGTCATTTTCCTATGTAATTTTATCTTTCCAACCATATAAAACTCGTTTTTATTGGTCAATGTTATCCCCCGCATCTCCAAGACGTAAGGCCATCACATCTTTGCCGAGCGAAATTTTTTGGTGAGATGATTCAGTTTGAGAACTGTGTCGCCTATATTCTCTGTCACGGTACACGCACTTAAAGGGCAACTAACCCTTGTAATAAGTTGATTTGTAAGAAAGCAGAAAAATAACAGAAACAGAATGACAAAAGTTTGAAATGAATCGGACCAATAGTACGGAAGTTATGAATGTTTCTGATATGAGATCACTAAGTCTCTGCGAATCTCAAATTGGTAGTTTGGTCAGTGGATTGTGACGTAGGACGTGGATATCTCTCCCATTTGCCGAGTACAAAAATATCACTTATTTCTGTTTTTCTTGTAAGTTCCTTCTCGTTTGGGGCACTTATCAAAATATATTATAGATAGCATATTATTATATGTCTTCTACAAAGAATAGACCCTCCTGGGCCATGATTTTTTTTTAAATGTTCGTAATTTTATATGTTGGAACAGATGGGAAAGTAGTCCGGTACTACATCACATTGACATTACCGCTTCAGCCAATTTGAAGTGCCCATACGTATAGTGATTACAACTTTCAAAAATTCATATTTTTCTTACATTTAGTCATATTCAATTGAAACTTTCATCAGTTTGCGTCTCTGATTTTCTGCTTTCTTTTAGAGTAGTTGTCTATTTGGGTAGGATTTCCCTTTAATACAATGCACAGTGGTGGAACGATACCGGCTGCACAGAGATACGGGATATACAATATCTTGTGTATATATGACTGATGCATTTTATTCAATTACAATATGGTCCATTTAGCTCCAAACGTTTCGATATGACATTAAAATTTGCTGATATTCACATTTTACTGATTGCGATCCTTAAGTATCAATTTTAGATAAATACTTTACCATTAGCATTTCGAAAAATGTTTATGTACAATAGTAATATACGTTCTTATCCTACACGACACTCATCCGACTTCCATTTGACTAATCCAAACATTATTATGGCCTATAAAGCGTTAAGACACTTTGGTCCAGATATTTGGAAAGCTTTACCTGACAATATTAAACACTCTGCATCTCTTTATTCATTTAAATTAAAGCCTCGGTGAAAAATATTAAATATCCAAATATTCATAAACATTATAAGGGTTTTAACGATTTCAATCGTTTAAATAAATTAATTTAAGATGACTAGTTCATAAACAAAACGAATCGAACAGTTACTTTACCCTGCACACAACTGACATGCACACACTACCCCCCTTTTTTCCTCCTCTCTCCATCTCTCTCCTTCTCTCTCTCCAACTCTCTCTCTCTCTCTCTCCCGGCTGCTATAATGCTTATGATAGTGGGCCTCTTCATATATCTTGATTCTTTGATTTACCGCCATACTTTCAAGTTTTCATTTATAAACATGCATTTTTTTGTGTGTGTATTTCAGTTGTCACGTTTATGTAAATCAATTATATTATAATTAGACTATCATTGTTATTTGAATATTTTTGTATTTGATTTTTCGATAAATGCAGAATCATCTGTTCAAAAATATTATCACTTTGTATTGTTTTCCCTCAGCAATTAAATTCAATATGTACATCGCAACCGGATGCATAGCATATTTGCTGTTCAGTGTGAGTGCTGGTCCTATTATCTTTCTTTTCTTTGCATTTTGTTTTGTTCCTCCGATCTTTTTAAAATTTTGCTTATCAAGAGGGAAGAGGAATATTACCCATTCCACTGCATCTATGCCAGTGGTTACAAAGATAAAATGATCATTCTCCAAATCATTCTGCAACATACACACTATGTATTAGCCTATTTATTCGAAGAACATCAAAAACCATACAAAATTACAAAGTACATTCATTCCAATACATATGTAACGACAGTTTAATATACAATCCGCAATGGCGTAGCATTACATGTACACGCGAAATGGAAGGGCTCATGCAAATATACCCCTCCTTTTCCTTACCCATATTGAAAAGCATAAAACGTGAGAAAAAATGTGAAAAAATTAACAGTGAAAGATTGTAAAAGATAGTAAAAGATAGAAAATAGAAGAGTGCCAGGCAACAAAGAATGCACATAATAAGACACCCTCCCCTCGCTCCATTGTCTGGTAATTCTCCAACAGTTTATCTACATTGTAACACCAGTTCCAATCAACGGCTGGACCCAACCTATGCCACTTTACATGCACACTCATATCTAAATTAAAAAACAAACAGGAGTTTTTATTATTCATCAATATCAAAGCCAAAGACATGCATTTCACTAGTGTCATTTGGGGATTTCTTCCAAAGTACATTGAAAAACGAAATAAACATTTTGACCAATGATTTTGGTTCGTTCATCTTTTCTTTGACCTCTAATGATGCACATGTACTTCATGATAGTCCATCAAATGTAAACAGGTACATCGCAATTCTTTTAACATGGGTTTTTATGACTCCAATATGAAAATTCTTTACTTAATAAAATTGAGCATTTTATATAGAAGAAAAAATTAAAACAAAACAAAGTGCTTGTTTTATGATTGATGATCATAATTTAAAGAAAAATCTCTATGTTAATACATGAACTTTAATTTCAGGAAAAGAAAACCTACAATGACTATATGATGGTTATAAAATACTGAGATGCACACATATTGAGTTCTTCGAAACAACAACATCTCACATTATATTTGTTCTTTTGAATGATCTGATAATCAAGTTCCGAAATGCTTCCTTTCTTTGTAAAGTGGAAGAAAAGAGCATGCTGAGACAATTTTTGCATGGTATATCCAAGCTTGTCACATTAAGCAGGTAGTAAGCTGGTAAAATATCACACAGATAACGTTTCTAAATGGTTTTCAAAGTGCTTTATGATATATTCATATAATCAGAACTACTTAAAAATGAAAGTTCATATGTCAATGAAAAACTACATATAGCAGCAGATTTTATATAAAACAGCTTCTTTTTAAATTTTAGCATATTCAAATCAATTTTTTGAATAATAATATATATATTATAGTGCATTATAATGCTAAAAATGACACTACATTTGATCCAAACTTTACATTTCAATTATATCATAAAATAGTTACACCTTTTCTTATTCAAAGTGCCATTTAAAGAAATTACGATGTCGTTTTCGTTGTCGGAACCCGATTATGTCGACGACTTATCCATGCTTGCCATTATGGATTCTGCAAGTGTGCAATGCAGCGAACGAGGCCGTGCAGCCCGAATGCTATCGCACACTATTGTGCGCGTAGTGAAATCTTTAACACACGCTGTAAATAGCAGACTTGTCAGTGAATCGATTGTACAATTTCGAAAGTTTTTTTTTAAATTTTGAGTTCGGGAGCAATTGTGAATGTCGGCAATAAGTCAAATTTGATTCTGTATATTATTTTACATGAAATTATTGGCATGCCAACGAAACGGGGTTGCATTTGCCGCCCCACTAAAATGTTCAATTTCAGTAGTCTTCCCGTTGTCCATCGCGGGTAATAACCTCGGGGGTAACCTACTAGGAGGCGGAGGTGGGGGAGGTACGTCGGTAGCCCGTTCGGGCTTTTTTGTTCCAGCAAAACGTATTAGCAAAAGGAAGATATATTTGCAAACTAATTTGAGAAAATAATAAATCAGGTTAATATCTTCTCTAAGAATAGTTTTGGGTACATGGAACATAGAAACATTGTCGTTTTAAGCCCTTGAAGTAGATGTTAAAACTTAAAAAGTGTTTTTCTCGGTTCCCCCTTTTTTACCAGCGCCAACGCTACGCGACCTTCTACCGGGCAACCGACGGTTGTCCTCTGGGGTAACCTACTGCGAGGGGGAGGTGGGGAAGGGTACTTGTCCTCGGGGGTAAGCTACTAGGACGGGAGGGTGGGGGAGGGTACTTGTCCTCGGGGGTAACTCCTAGGAGGGGGAGGTGGGAAGGATACTTGCCATCGGGGTAACCTACTCGGAGGGGGAGGTGGGGGCGGGACCCGGCGGGTACTTGTCCTCGGGAGTAACCTACTGGGAGGGGAGGTGGGGAGGGTACTTGTCCTCGGGGGTAACTCCTAGGAGGGGGGAGGTGGGGAGGGTACTTGTCCTCGGGGGTAACTCCTAGGAGGGGGAGGTGGGGAGGATACTTGCCATCGGGGTAACCTACTAGGAGGGGGAGGTGGGGTAGGGTACTTGTCATCGGGGGTAACATAGTAGGAGGGGGAGGTGGGGGAGGGTCATTGTCCTCGGGGATAACCTATTTTGAGGGGGAGGTGGGTGGGTACTTGCCCTCGGGTGTAACCTAGCGACTTGGAGGGGGAGGTGGGGGAGGGTACTTGTCCCCTGGGGTAACCTACTAGGAGGGAGAGTTGGGGGAGGGTACTTGTCTTCGGGGGTAACCTACTTGGAGGGGAGGTGGGGAGGATACTTGCCCTCGGGGTAACCACCTATGAGGAGGAGTTGGGGAAGGCTACTCGTCCTCGGGGGTAACCTACAAGAAGGGGGAGGTGGGGGAGGGTACTTGTCCTCGGGGGTATGGGAAGGTGGCATAACAATTATTGTCCATATTCATGACATTTTTGTTGATCAGGCTGATGGAGTCTTGGAGGGAGACTTGGAGGGAGACTTGGGGGGAGGGTACCCGTCCTCGGGGACGGGGGCGGTTTAAATAGCGTGGCGTTGGTAATTGTCCGGAGGGTGATTGTCCAGGAGGTAATTGTCCTAGAACTGTTTCTGAGATATTCCCGAGGTCAAGACTGGTGTCATCTGCAGGCTTGAACTTCTGCTTGTTTGCCTTCTCCTTTATGTTTGCTGCAGAGGTTTGATCAATAACCTCCTTTAGCAAGCCATCGATCTCTTCGCAAAGGAATGTGTGAGCAGATAGACTGTCCGTCTCAAGGCAACCTAGTCTGTCATTATCCACCAAATCTACCGAACTACCAATGCTCTTGATCATCTGTCGGTCGTTCGACTTTAGACCGTTGAGGGCTTCATTAAAACTACGCTCCAGAGCATCGATCTTCTCAATGAGTACACGTCGGTTGTCTTCTAGTTGCTTGACCTTGGTACGACAGGCTAGGCCCACATCTTCACGTAGTAGCTGTAGCGCAGTATGTGCCTCATTACGATGTGTCTCTACAGTCTGAATGTTCTTCTCCAGGTCTGACTTCTTTGCTTTATAACGATGGAGAAGATCACTCACCTAAAGAACAGAAGTTGAAGGAAAGCAAAAAGAATGATTCTCACTTGAATGTGAAATTCTGATCAAATTCTGAAATCCAGGCCCGGATCCAGGGGGAGAGCAGGTGCCACATAATTTGTTTAAGAAGTGCCCCTTTTTACATTTTTACTTTGACAAGTGCCCCTATTAATTTGTAAAAGTGCCTCTTCCGCTTTTCAACTCTGATAAGTGCCACTTTTATTTGGACACGTGCCCCTTTTCCTTCGAAAAGTTCCCATTTTCCTTCGCAATAAGTGTCCAGTTTCCATTCTCATAAGTGCCCTTTTTTAATCTCTAGTAAGTGCCCCTAGTTAGGTACGAGAAGTGCCTATTTTCACTTTTGATAAGTGCCCCCTTCACCTCTGATAATTGTCCTATTGAAATATGAAAGCTACGTGCCTCTTTTACTTTGACAAGTGCCCCCTTTTTTTTGTAAGAAGTGCCCATTCCCCTTTTAATAACTACCCCCATTTTAACTCGGATAAGCGCACCTTATATTTTCACATGTGCCTTTTTCCTATCTAATAAGTGCCCCTTTTCTTAATGATAAGTTTCCCATTAAAAAGAGCCCCTTCATCTTCTCATAAGTGCCCCTTCTCTGTTCATTGCCTCTTTTCAGATGCGAGAAGTGCCTCTTTTCACCTCTGATTATTTCCCTTTTAACAATATATAATGATATCTTAGAAAAGCCCCTACCAAAATCTGATGGGGGCCCTTTGTCCGTCGACAAAGCCCATTTCCTATTCTTATGAATGACTTTTTTCATCCCTGGTGAGTGCCTCTTTTTGAGGGTGTAAGAAGTGCCCCATTTTCACCTCTGATAATTACTCTTTGTACTTTGGCAGAAAAGGTTGATCATCTAGCATATAAGTATTGGTGTGTACTGCAAGGTTCTGGAATCATTTGGCCCAGTCTTGGTAAAGTTATAAGCACTGCACACAGAAAAATGTATATGGGACTACCCTATATCTATCCAGTCCAGATAGATATAATAATTTACCAAAAATATCAATTTAGTAGGCGGTTTCCCCGCAAAATTTGTATCATCACGTATAAGTCAAAAATATATTCTTTCACATGATTTTTAATAAAAGCTTCAATTTCATTTTTTGGAGAGGGAGGCGTTTCCAAAACTGGTCTTTACCTTTGAACGCGCCCTACCTAATTTCCAGCGTCTTAGAGCAATTTCCCCATAAACTCGCTCGCTACGCTCGCACGCATCTTAAGATGATAAGCTTATCTTACTTATCAAAGGTCTTTTCAGTCTTTCGTTATGATAATGTGCTTATAACCCCTTTAGGATTGGGTTTTTCTCTCTTTATAAGATGTAATTTTTTGCACTGCGACTTCACACATCTTAAAATTTTCCTCGCTCGCTTCGCTCGCTCGCAAACATTTTTTAGACAATCAAACCCAACTGCAAAGCATGATTGTTTGTTTGTTTTTATTTCCGAAATCCATATATACATACAAGTTTAAAAAAGCAAAAATCATATTAATTTACATACAATATCAATTTTGTTTAAATCATAGCAATTTACCAATACACTACCCCCCCCCCCCTCTTATCGATCCCCCTAACCTCACCACCCCCCCCCCCCCCGCCACCCTCTCGATACTGCCAACCCCTCCCGCTACCCCTTCCCAAGTCCTCCAGTGTATATTATATCTGTCATAACATTTCAAACTAAACTTTTTATTTTTTTATTAAATATTGCCAAACTTCTTGATTGTCGAATGTGCATAGACAATCCATTATTCAATTTACTTCCGCGATACAGAAACGTACGCTTACAATTCTGTGTTTTCGGTTTAGTCAAAACTAAATTAGTACTTCTAAGGGCATAGTTAGTAGTCTTAACAATAAACTTCTCTTTCAAATATACAGGTGCCAAATCGTGAAATATTTTATACATCAAAGTATGATGCTTAAGCAATATCTTGTATGGTGTATGAAGTGAAACGAATGTTGAAATCATCCCTGATAATTGTAATCACAATGTAGGGGTATATACCAATATCTAAAAAATTGTATATTTTCGCTTTAAGATTTCCCTTTGTAGGTGCCCTTTTTTCTTGGTGCCCCCCCCCCCTCCCCCACTTTGGAAGTCGCTCGGCCGACCCTACTCTTACATGCAGGCCCTGCTGAACGTTTTCCAAGGTGAGTGGGGGAGGCTAAAATATTACGATCAGGTAGAGCGTAGCGTAAATTGGCGTGGGGTCTAGGGCAAAGCCCCAGCGGGGGTCAAAGGACGGAGCCCCCTGAAGCTCAGGGGGTATGGGCATTTAGTTACGGTAAGATGAGCCTATTTTGATACCTTATTCGTCACACTGACAAGTCACTAATTGGCCTGGGGTCGAGGGACGGAGCCCCCGGAAGCTCAGGGGTTTTAGGCATTAAATCATCGTTAGATAAGCATCTAGGGGCCCACCTTTGGGCCCTTCATTGGGTCCAGGGGGCAGAGCCCCGGGAAGCTCAGGGGTTTTAGGCATTTAATTACGGTCAGATGAGCATATTTTGATACCTCATTACTTTGTGACACTTGTAGGTCTTCTTGAAAATCTTTCCCCTCCCCCTTTTCTTTTTCTTCTTCCTCTTCTTTCTTTCCCTTTTTCTCCTCTTTCCTTCTCCCTTCTTTTCCTTTTCTCTCTCTCTCTCTCTCTCTTTTTTTTTTTTTTTTTTTTTTTTTGGGGGGGGGGGGGGGTCCGCTCGGTCCCCCTGGATCCGCCTTCATATATACGCGTTCCCTTAATAACATTGAGTGGGGGGGGGCGTAGAGAACATTATTACTATGTCAAACTACACTTTAAGAAGTACAGGTAGCATAATGAACATCTGCAAGTTATGGATTTATTTCATTTTTCTGAACAGGGTTTCTCTGGAGAAAGAGACGCCGACGAGGATCCAAACTGAATAAACCTACTTATATCTGTTTGTAAAATAACACTGAACAGTGAAATTTCCAACAATACACTTTATTTTCAAATGTCCTCATATCATTTATAAGATAGTATTATGCCAACAGCATGTGTTGAGGAGTAATTATACTAATGGTACATACGAACGTGTTCATTATACGATCTATCCGCATTCGAGTTGAAGCTGTATGCATGCACAGACTTAATGGCCCGAATTCACAAAGGAGGTTTGTCGACAAACCTTGGTTTTCGTACGTCATATGACGCGTTTTTACGCGTTTTTTACAAACCTGGTTTGTAAAAACGCGTCGAAACGCGTCATATGACGCACGAAAACCAAGGTTTGTCGACAAACCTCCTTTGTGAATTCGGGCCATAGATTCCGCAATGAACAATGAAACGTGCATCATTTGTTTTATACAACGAAACTTCTAGATCCTCGTTATTTAATGTAAAAAGAAATCACTTCAAGATACATCCCAAACCTAATGAGCTAAGTTCCAATAATTAGCGTGCACCAGGCGCGTACGCAGCGGGGGGGGGGGGGGGGGGTTGAACCCCCCTCATTTTGTGTGTGTGTGATTTTTGATGAAACCCCCCCCCCCCCCTCAATTTAAAAAAAAAAGAAAAAAAAAAAAGGGGAAAACAAAATTGTGCCAAAGGGTAACCCCCAAAAAGTGACATTACCCCCCCCCCCCCCCCTGAGTCATTTTGAGTCGTTTCGAAATTTTTGTGGCCAAAATAAAAAGTGCTCTTACCTTCTCTCCCCCCCCCCCCCCTCGCTCAGCGGCTGGCTGAGGCTTTGCTAAATTTTCGGCCTGATTTAAAAATGTTTACCCCCCCCCCCTTGAAAATAATCCTGCGTACGCCACTGGCGTGCACCCACCAATTTCCTTTAATTTATTTTAATAGGAGCATTTATGAGAGCTGAAAGGGGTCATTAGGAAAAGGTGAAGGTGCACTTCTAAGAAGGAAAAGAGCATTTATTTTATAAAAAAGAAAAAGGGGAACGTGTCAAAATAAAAGGGGCAGTTAAAAGAGGTGGAAAGGGGAACCCGACA